TCTTACCTTCCTCATTTTGCTTGCATCTCTCTTTCTTTGTGTGTATTTGTGGTGATTCCTCAAGATTAAACAGCAATGATACAGAGTTCTAATATAAACTCTAGTGATGTGACAAAGTAATAAATAAATAAATAAAATAAAATAAAAACACAAGCTAAAACATCACATCACTTGGTGGGATCCACCATTAGAGCTCTTTTTGAAGCTCTTTTTCTAGAGTTTCCAAATATTTTCCGATGATTAAAACAGGGATACGAGGTGTCAGATAAGAGAAATGAGGCAATGGTAGCGATATCATATGATTACTAGACTTAGGTAGTGATAAGGTTGGAATGAATTGTGACATTCAAATAAAAAAATAATAATCCAAAAATGGAGTGTCAACAATTTTTTAGGTGCATTTAAGGCTCCTACATCCAATTTAAAATGATTTGTTGAATTTTGAATGGACTATTTTTGTGATTGGTTTATTTTTTATTTTTTAATAAATATTTTAAATTAGATTAAACTCACAAAATGTTAAAAATAAATAAATAAATAAAAAGAAATTATAACATAAAATTGATACTATAATTAAAATTATATGAATCAAATTGAAACTGAAAAAAATTTAAAGGACCAGGAACTATAATTTGCCATATATTTATATTTTGGATAAATCATACTTTTCGCTCAGCTAATCTGACTCAAATTTAATTTTAATTCTTCTATTTAAGTTTAATGTCAATTTGATCATTCCGTTCACATGAGCTTCAAATTTTTTTATATGTGCATTTTAAGAAATTGACACTTGACATAAAATTATTTATTTGAAACGTCAAATTTGAATGAAATGGTAAAATTAAAACTCACCAAATTATTCAAATTAAAGAATAAAGATTAAAATAAAATTTAAATTAGACTATAAGATTTAAAAATGTAAATTCACACTTATATTTTTGGTGGATCCTCTTTCAAATTCCGTTTGGTGCTGGATGCCAGCTACTAGGGGTGTGTGCAGTGCGGATCGGTGCGGTTTGAGAGAAAAATAAAAATCGTATGGCGGGTGGCGGATTGATAAAAGTGTCACTAGAATTTGCCATTTTCCTTATCAAAAATCGGCGGTTCAATTGGCAAATAATGGCGGATTTGCCTTGGGGTTCGAGCGGATTGGTGGTTTATAAAAAATATAATTCAAATTACAAAACTTAAATCAAACAGTAAAAAAAAGACGAAAGATACTGTGATATTAAGCATCTTGCGAAGTTTTCTTCTGATGCAGCAAGTGTAGCAACAACATGATAATATCAACGACTATGTCATCAGTTCATTACAAGCATCTGTGGAAGCTACAATGATCAAATACAATACATAAAATTAATATCATTCAGGGTTTATAATATATTGAAAATGTTTACTGTTGAAAAGTATTTAGATTGAAAAGTGAGTTGATGCAAGTTTGCAACATGGCCAGAAAAAAAAAAAAAAAGGTTGAAAAGTGAATTAGAATCCAACTTCATTTTGGATTACTGACATCTTAAATTCCCCTCGAGCAGTAATGTAATACTATATTCTAAGGTATAGAACAACAAGTAAACTTAAATAAAAAGAATTTTTAGAATTTTATAAAACATGATTTAATAGCAGTGCGGGTTGGTGCAGTTTGGAAAAAAAAATAGAAACCGGCGGATTGATGAAAGTGTCACTAGAATTTGCCATTTTTCTTACCAAAAACCGACGGTTCGATTGACAAATAATAACGAATTTGCCTTGACGGTACGATTTTGGCGATTTCGGCAGTTTCGGCGATATTATGCACACCCCTACCAGCTACTATCACGACTTTTTGATGTATCTTCATTCGTCAATCGTACAACTTGCGTTGATAAGTAATCATCACTTAAGATGATAATAATTCCATAAACATTAGGTGACTAAGGGTCGGTTTGGGAAGATGGTTTGTGGCTAAAATAGTCACAAAAAATAAAATAGGTTATTTTAGTTACAACAAACAAAACATCACATCAAACCCATAATCATTACACTCTTCTCTCACAAAAAAATTCAAAAAATCAAAAAGTCCTCCCCAAATCAAGCTTTTTAGCCCAGGCCAAAAAAGCCAAAAAGTCAAAAAGTCAACCCACTTTCCAAACCAACCCTAAGAAATTCAAATTAAATTTTTTAATGCAATAATTTCAAAGATAATATAATAATAATAGTTAAATAGTATATTGAAGTATTGACATGTATATTAGACTTGTACGAATCCAGTAAGGGGTTTTGAAAATTAGCATTTTTAATTAGAAAGTAAGTTTATTTAGCACAAATTAAAAAATTGGATAAATTAAACTTATCTCTATTGAGATTTAGAAAAATAATTATACCGATTTATCTTAAAGTTCTAATTCTTTTTTTTTTTCTTTTGTAAATCTTAAAGTTTTAATTTACGTAACACTTAAACTTTATTTTATCAGCAATTCATTAGTCTTGTGGATAAAAAATTAATATTGTAATATTTTTTATACTAAAATGTATATTTATCTGTATTTATTTTAATGTTTGCTCACCATTTATATCAATTTTAATTGTTTTAATCTTAATAAAAGAAAAGTTACTATTAATATTGTAATATTTTTTAATATGATATTATGTACACAAATTTCTATTCATATATGTTTTACCATTCCCTATAATTATTGAGTACTCTCAGAACATCTTGTGACATTACCACGTATACAATGCCACATGATACTCTCAGATTAGTTATTAACTTTCCTTCCCATTAAGTAATACAGGTTGCATTGTGTATGTTCTTGCTCTCATTTTGCTTTTGGGTGTTATTCTTTTATGGGTCGTGCTAATGACAACTTAACTGTTGTCAATTAGAAGCACAAAATGCCAAAATTTTTATAATTCTATTACGCTTCTTACACTTTTTACATATCCCAAAACAGTTTTACACATTTCAATAATACATTTTTACTTACTTTTTCAACACAAACAGCAATAAGGGCTGTTTTTAGCAATTTAATTGGTTGTTTTGGCAGTGGTGCACTGCATTAAATTGTTCTGTGTTTGGATTGGGTTTTTAAGCATGCCGCAAAGAAGCATATAGTTAGGAAAAAGACAATTGAGCAGATAGGAGAAAAATAAAACTGCCAGTGTCGCTTTTATTATAGGTAATAGATTAATGTACAGGTACCCTTTTGTTTGTTGAAGGCCGTTCGAGTTTTTCTTGGAGTATGACATGGGTTACTTCAGTGTCATAGTGCCTAGTACATGAACATTTATTTCAAAATTTTAACAATTTAATTTTAAATCAAAAAATCAATTCATCTCATGTCCCATCTACACTATTAATTTGAAGGGAAATGCTACCTTTTCACTTTGGTATGGACCTCAAGAGTGTTTAGTGTCAGAAGTCAAACTTTAGGGGTCACCGCATTTTCTGGCTTGACCCCATAGGGTCAGAAGTGTTAGTTACCCTTTAATATATGTGGATTTATTGGTAGATGGTTGTAAATATGCCAATTCTTTGTTTGGAATCATTGTATGTCAGGTGATAGAAAGTAAACAGAAAAATTCCTCGCTTTTTTGATTGAAAAATTTCTCCATCCTTGCTGTTGATTTACGTCTTTTAACTTTAACATACCCAAAGTTGTCTTTGAAGCCCTAGAATTTCTTTCGTTTTAAATGAGAATGAATGTAATTGATTAGCAAAAAGAGATGAGTTGTGGAACTTTAATTTGACTGCTTCTAGGCTTTTAAAAAAGATGATTTGGTTGACAGTTTTCATTCCTTGATGCATCATAAATAGATACAACAATGATTCATCCCATTAAAAATATCACCACTAATAGCACTAATGTATTAAAAAAGTAAAAAAAAATAAAATAAAATACAACTCCAAGACCAAAACATCACATCATTAATGGCGAGACCCACTGCCACCTAATTAGTGGGAGCACTAATTAGTGCTCCCAAGCATTTTTCTAAATAGATAGGAATTGAACTTTTGGTCATTTTTTGATAGATTAAATAATAGTAGCATTTACTGCTCTTGTGCCAGCTTGAAGCTATTTACTTTTGGTCATTATGATCCCCTAGAAACCTGATGCAGATTGAATTTTAGAAAATAAGTATTTTTATTTTATTATTTTAAAATTAATATTTGACCATGGATATTCTAAATTGATATAGAATATTATGGAATTATTTAGTTATTTAGTTTCCTAATTTAATATGATGTAGTTTTCCTATTTTCTTAGTTTTGTACAGGTACCCTTTTGTTTGTTGAAGGCCGTTCGAGTTTTTCTTGGAGTATGACATGGGTTACTTCAGTGTCATAGTGCCTAGTACTTGAGCATTCATTTCAAAATTTTAACAATTTAATTTTAAATCAAAAAATCAATTTTTCTCATGTCACATCTACACTATTAATTTAAAGGGAAATGTCACCTTTTCACTTTGGTATGGACCTCAAGAGTGTTTAGTGTCAGAAGTCAAACTTTAGGAGTCACCGCATTTTCTGGCTTGACCCCATAGGGTCAGAAGTGTAAGTTACCCTTTAATATATGTGAATTTATTGGTAGATGGTTGTAAATATGCCAATTCTTTGTTTGGAATCATTGTATGTCAGGTGATAGAAAGTAAACAGAAAAATTCCTCGCTTTTTTGATTGAAAAATTTCTCCATCCTTGCTGTTGATTTACGTCTTTTAACTTTAACATACCCAAAGTTGTCTTTGAAGCCCTAGAATTTCTTTCGTTTTAAATGAGAATGAATGTAATTGATTAGCAAAAAGAGATGAGTTGTGGAACTTTAATTTGACTGCTCCTAGGCTTTTAAAAAAGATGATTTGGTTGACAGTTTTCAGTCCTTGATGCATCATAAATAGATAGGAATTGAACTTTTGGTCATTTTTTGATAGATTAACAATAGTAGCATTTACTGCTCTTGTGCCAGCTTGAAGCTATTTACTTTTGGTCATTATGATCCCTAGAAACCTATGCTGAATCTTTTCTGTGTATACATTACCTGTTATCAGCAGTCAAAGTGGAGCGATATGCTTGGACATCCTGAAGGACCAATGGAGCCCTGCATTCACTCTAAAGACAGCACTGCTTTCAGTACAAGCATTACTTTCTGCCCCTGAACCCGATGATCCCCAAGATGCTGTAGTAGCACAACAGGTGTAATTTGTTTCCTTCCTCGTCCCACTGCCTCTTCGTGCACATTGTACTACATCAGGTTCTGCATGTGGACACTTTAGTGTGTATGTAGCACGGATACGGATACGAATACGGATACGGACATGCATGCGGACACGTATACGGACACCAGACACGCATAATTTCTAAAAAATAAGGACACGGACAGAGCAGGGGACACGGCAAATTTTTTTAATTTTTTTATAAATATTTTTATTTTAATACACATTAATTATTTTATTTATTTATTATATTTTTAAAATAATTAATTTTTTTTATTTTATATACATCTGTTTATTTTTTTTTATATTAATATGTATGCATATATATTATCTTACAATATGTATTAAATATATTATATGTTATATACTAACTATTATATAATATATAATAATATGTTAACTATTATATAATATAGGGGAATTAACCAGTAAATCCTATTTTATGGACTTGTAATCCATAAGGTCCTGAATGTTTTCTTAGTGACTGAGTGGTCCCTTAATTTGTTTGTTGACAGTTTTGCCACTGGTAGTATTATTGATTGACATTTGGTGTGGGTTTGTATGGGATAAGGTGAAGGGATGTTTGTGTCACGCTGATCGAAAAAGCACACTAATACTGTTTTTAATTTAGTAAGTGTGTAACACTCAAAACATGAGACGTGGGTTATGACGTGAACACAAGTAATTTGACACCCTTTTTTCTTTTTGTTCCTAAATCTGGGAATTACAAGGCCCATTGTTCACGAGTTGCCCATTGTTCCTAAATCATGAGTTCGCATTGCTTGTGCCCAAGAACACATTGTTCAAGTTGATTACCAGATTTCAAGAAACTTGGATCCCTCAAGTCCCAACAATTTCGAAGATGGATTACCAGATACCAAGAACCTATTGTTCACGTCGATCTGCCCGATTCCTTCACCAGCATCTTGTACTCTGTTTTCTGGTCAATATGGCGACGCCAACGTGGTACACCGATCTGATGGATTGACGATCATCTTGTGCCCATTGTTCATGCTGACGTGGTACACCGACCTGACGGATAATCTATTTGTCAACGCTATAAAAAAATAAACACAACTTCAAGATCACAATATTATATCCACCGGTTACAAATAGAACCACTAGAAAGATCCTTTGCAAGAATTACAAGAAGATACATGACAGCACAAAAATATCATTAATCATGATATATTCAAAAAAAACAACACTCAAACTTGTGAAAGAAATCAATGGGCATTCGTTTTAAGGTAACCACAGATTCTGAAAAAACCCTCTCAGATAAAACGACAGATGCAAGGGAGAGAGAGAAGGAGAGAGAGTGAGGGAGATAGGGTCGAGGTCACGATCGCGATCACGAGAGAGAGAGAGAGAGAGAGAAATATTGTGAAGGCGAGAGAGAGAGAGAGACAGATCGCGATCGTCTGGGGTGTTCGATCGACTGATGGAGCTTGGAGCTTCGATCTTTAACTGGATTCATGGAGCCTCGATCTTCGACAAGTTTGTCTCTCTTCACTTTCTTCCTTCACACTCTCTCCTTTGTCTCTCCCTCCTTGCCGTGTCTCACGTCGTGTCCAGATCTGGACACGCGTGTCCCCTACAGGGCCGGCCCTGGGCTAAGGCTGTAAGGCCTATGCCTAGGGCCCCAAAAATTAGGCCCAAAAAAGGCCCTCAAATTTAATCTTGCACTATATTAAATATTTAAAATGGCCCAATTCTATTTAATTAATTTAGGCCATTTTAAAGGGGGTCTTAAAAAATCTATTCGGCTCAATTGATAAAAGGCCCAATTAAAAAATATTTATAAGTTTTAGTTGTTAGTCCAATTAAAAAAAATAAAATATAAAATATATGTATATGTATTAGTTGTTAACCTAATTTTGCATAGCCTATTTTTTTTTCTCTCTTTATGGCCCAATTATGTGTTTTTTAGTATTTTTTTAAAAAAAATATTTTACACAATTTTTATTTATTTATTTTGTATACACTTAAAAATTATAATATTTATATTTTTTTAAAAAAAAATGTTTTCATATACAAAAAATATAAAAAATACAAATTGTAAACTTAGATAATTATTTTTGAAAACTTTAAACCAAACAGAGGGATTTTTATTTTTATTTTTTATAAATATCTAAAAAGGTCCCAAAAAATTTTTTCGCCTTAGGCCCTCCGAAACTCAGGGCCAGCCCTGTTCCCCTACAAGAAAAACAATTAAATTAAAGGGACACGGCAGATGGCATGTCCTGTAGTGTCCCCAGCATGTCCCCGTGTCCGACACCGTGACGGCGCTGATTTTGCCGTGTCTATGCTTCATAGATCCTAATGATTATCACATCTTTTTTATATGCTTTTAGTTTTTCCCATGCCGTAACTTACTGGTTCTTTGTTAAGAAAACTTCTTGTTAATTTTTATTTAGTGTTTGCTTGTGGCCATTTTAGTATCTCAGGGACTACCAGACCTTTGCAGCCACAGCTCGGTACTGGACAGAAACTTTTGCTAGAACATCAGCTCTTGGAGTTGAGGGGAAGGTGCACAGTTTTTTTTCACCCTTTGTTTTTTGCCTTCTAAGGTGGGCTTTGGCAATTGCTTTTTTAGTAGTATTTTTGTGTTTGGTAATTGCCCAAAAAAGTTGACTTTTTGAGTTTTTAAAAACTTTTTGTTGGCAAATGATATTGTGGAGCCATTGTAGGTAAACGGTGGAATTTTTGAAAGGACTGAGGGTAAAATTGTTTTTTCACAAATTTGCTTAAAAAAACTGCTTTTATAGGGAAGCCATCCCAAACAAACTTATTTGCTTCTGACTTTTTAGCGAAAAAACTGCTTATTTAGTGCTTCCCAAACAGGGCCAAAGTTTACTACAACAATAGACGAATACTAGTATAATATTTTTATGAAGAAATTTACATTGCATAATTTCTGACAGCTGATGTTGGGTTTTCACAGGTGCAAAAACTGGTGGAGATGGGCTTCCCTGAAGCTTTGGTTCGGAGTACGCTGGAGAGTGTTGGTGGTGACGAGAACATGGCCCTTGAAAAGCTTTGCTCTGGCTAGAACTCAAAGCAGACGACATTTTACTTTTTTTTTTTGTTGTTGTGGAAATTCCTGTGCCATCGCAAGAGGTTGAAAACTAGTTTTACAAACACAAATGGATTTGTCAGAATATCAGCTTTTCACTTATAGTCTAGGTTTTCTATCTTTCGATCATTCGTCTTTTGTTTCAGAGTGTTCATCCTTCATGAATAGTATATTTCAATGTCAATGCATCAATATCGCTATTAGCTAATTGCAATCAGCTTGTGAAATTTGAAAATATTGATCAGAAGTTATTTTGGGTCTGTGGAATTAATCATTTTTTTTTTTTTTGGGCTGGACAACTATATGCATTATGTTAGAATTTACCATCAACTACCACCTCACCTACTCCACTAAACCTAACCCACTACACCACTACCACCTCACCTACTCCACTAAACCTAACCCACTACACCACTACCACCTCACCTACTCCACTAAACCTAACCCACTAATTATGAGAGGGGTAGAAATTTCTGAACTTATTATTTTGCAGTTACTTTTGTTTTGAGTCTAATTCCAGGCTGGACACGACAAATGAGAATTTGCCGAAGAAGAGGTTGGCAACATCAACATCCCCCATGGGGCATTGAGGCGGCAACCGGGCCACAACAGCTGTGATTATAGGTGTGGCTGTTGCTTTTTATGTCATGGTCGGCCTAGGACTTTGACATCATTTGATTGAACTGAGTTCACTATGTTGACGGTGCTTCTAGTGCAGCCCGTTTCTGGATGGAGATGATTTTCTTTCTCATATTTTTAGGGTCTTAAGTTGAGCTTATATTGCTTCATCTAGGTCTTTGCCCCCATTGTTACTGCCCCTGCCGCATCCTAGTACTGGCAAGTAGAGATTTTGATTTGAGTGAATGTTGAGACCTAGTGAATCTACTAATATTACCATTCAGCTGTGGTATTAGTATATGAGCTTTTTTATGTAGTCGGTTCGTTTGAAAAGTGACTTTTTGGCTAAAACATTAGGTGAAAAAACACTTAAAAAAACTGAAGTGTTTTGGAATTATTTTTTGACTTTTTATGAAAAAATATGCTAAAAAAGTAGAGAAAATTGTAATAAATCTTTGTCTTTGTTGTATGATTTTTGTTTTTTTTTAATGGCTTTTTGACATTTTGCCAGATGAAGCTCAATGGTATTCAGATTGAAGCAGTAAGCTCTAGCTCAGATGGCCGTAGCAGTGGTAGCTACAGTTACTGCCATGAGTTAATGTTTTTGGTTTCAGAATTGTACTCCCTGCAAAACTTGCTTGAAATTGATGGGTAACGACTGTTCTTATCCATACTCGTGCTGATGATGCGCTGTTCAAGACTATGTTTGGATGATAGATTTCATGAGGGATTTGTGTAATGGAAAAATGAAAAGTTTTCTACAATTATTTCATCACAGATTTCTCTTGTCAGCTTCATTACAATCATATTTTTGTATGTATTTAATGAAAGTAATTATGTTGTCCTGGCTGCATTTTGAGTGAAGGATACTCACCAGATATGACTTGAAACAAATCAAAAATTCTAACAACCATACAAAACTATTAGGTTGTGTTTGGATCAACCATTTGATACACACAATGTAAAGTATAGAAAGCAAGGTTTCTCATAAATATACTCAGCAAATGCACATCCAATCTTAAATTATTGAATGCTAGACATCCACATAAATTATATGAATCATACATTGCTAAGAATAAGACCTAGGGGACGGAGAGGTTGGCCTGGTAGATGAAATGCTTCTTTACTAGACGTGATGCCTGGATTTGAGTCGCATTGTTATGTGATACAGTGAAATAGTGAACATAAATTAGCTAGACTGCCCTGGAAATTTCAAGAGCAATGATGATAAACAGTAACTCTTCTTGCTGGAGGAGGAACACATATGATGAAGAAGGCCATTGCCATGACCATGGCAACGACCAACCCTAGAAGAAGTGTTGTAAGATCATCAGAGTCTGAGCAGCAGAAACTCCCCATTGTCTCTCCTTTTCGCTCGTCTTTGAATCAAATCGCTCGGTTTCTGACAAAAACCACAGGCAGCAGAGCAAGAAGAAGTGAAAAGAGAATGGTGTTTTTCCAGTGGAGTGGGAATTGGGCATGGAAATGTTGAAGTTAAAAGAGTAGAGCAGTTGCTTTCTTGTGATTATGTCGTTTTGTGTACTGAGAGGTCAATGGCAATGGGCACCACTTGTCCTGGTTACTTACTGGACCTTGCTTTCTTTGTTTTGTAGCACTTGCCTCACCCATTTTGCAGTCACAATTCTCAGGCCCAGAGACCTTCATTCTATAAATATCTTAGTGTTTTTTGGAAAATTAAAATTATAAACAGAAAATGAAAATATAGTAAACATGTCCTTAGGCCTCGTTTGGTAACGCTTTGATTTCTTTCTCTCTTTTTCTTTTTTTTTTGATTTGTTGGAAATATGAAAACGAAACTTCTTGGATATATTGTTTTCGTTTGCAAAATAGTGAAATTGATTTTAGAATTTTTAAATGTTTTCGAAACTAAAAATATATATTTTTCACTTGTTTTCAAAAACAAGTTGTCAATCTTTCCTACTTACCACCTCCCGTCACCAATCACCACTAGCCTCCGGCAACTCTACTCACCTTTTGATCTACTATTAGTGAGTTCTAACGAGTTTTAGTCGCTCTCAATACTAACTACTATATCCATTCACTTTTTATTATGTACTGGCAACTACTTTTGACTATTTATCCAACATATTTTTTTTATTTTGTTTTCTGGTGTTCTTAAAAATATTTGTGTACAGCTAATTGTTTTTTACACAAATTTTATAAAATATTTATTCGTTTATAAATAGAGAACAAGAAGTTGTATCCTTACACTTGCATGCTCATATCTGCCTTTCAATCCCATCGACTCCTTTATGCGAAACTTTTGGGTATATCATTTTCATATCTGCCTTTCAATAAATTAGGTTGATTTGATAATTATAATTTTTTATTTTGTTGACTTTATTTTTTAAAAAAATTGATGATTTATTTTAAAAAGTGCAATTGTTTAATTTTTAAAAACAAACACGATAAAATAAGGACGTTAAAATTATAGGATCGACTTAATTTTTTTAATGAATAATATACATGAAGCCTTACGGAATAGGCACAAACGTATGATATATACAATAAAATAAAAATATTATGATTATCTTAAGTGTTATCATTATATAGGTTTAATAAATCGTCCTACTCATACCTGTTATCAATATAATTGTGACACATCGGATTATAAATATAAAAGTTATAGTAGAAAATATAATTATCTTTGTGTTATTGATAATTTTTTTTAAAAAAAATTGATGATATGCAAATAGAAATTTTGTACAAAATTTTCAGTTAAAACATCTTTTATTTTGACGTTTAATTTCAACATTGCTATAATCACATCATTTTAATTAATTTTTTTTATTATATATAATGGAAATTGAATTATTTAAATTGTTGTCACCAAGGTCATGAAAGTGCACAAATTTTTAAAATGTGTAAAAAATATAGTATAAAAATTTATAAAAGTATTTAGAATGTGTGAAAAATACATTGAGATTTTAATATTTTAATATTTTTCTCTCTCAACTGACAACTGTCAATGACAGGACTCATTAAAAATTATCCCCACATAATTAAAAGTAAAAAAATGGCAGAGACCTTAAAATAGGTCGGTCATACACCTATGTGAGATATTTAATAAAAGAAAAATAATTGAGACAATTAAAAGATGAGTAGTAATGGTTTTAATGTTGATATGAGTCTCACATGATGGTGGATGTTTTGTTCGCGTTTGTTTGTTTGTTTTTTTTTTTTTTTCCAGCTCATTAGAGCTGGTTTAGTGATACAAAATTAATAATACCAATCACTGTTGTTAATAAAAAATTTGATAATTTTTTTAGAATTTCTAGTATTATTCTTAAAAATCTTTAAACTTTATTAAAAGAATAATGGTAGGGGTCATGAAAAAAATATCATGAAATATTTTATAATTTTTTTTCCCTTTCATTAATATGTGATGTTTTATTATATTTGTAATCCAAAAGTATAAAATTTTTCATAATCATTTTCATATTATTTTCTTCCTAACTCCTAACATTACTCTTATTAAAAAGGTTAATAATTTGACTCCTTCAGCATGTTTGCGTCTTTTCTCACACAACGCTTATAAGGACGCCCCCCAAATTACTTTTTTAAACTATTCCCTTCTAGCATGAGAAGAAACCCTCCGGAATGAGTAGAAAATATTTTATGAGATAATTTATTAAGTATTTATATATATATATATATATATTTTTTTTCTCTCTCTCATTATGAGAGTTATATTTTTATTCTGCCCGACCAAACCGACCTAACCTAATTGATTTTGAGCGGATGCATGTCTTTCAGCGAACAAATGCGGATGAAATACTTCAAAATTCATGGATACAGTTTGGATGGTAGATAAATCATTCTGTACCCGTATGAACCCGATCTGCTTGTAGATGAAGTTCAAAGAAAGGGGGAAAAAATGCTAAAAAGTAACAATATAGAGTAGGAATAATAAAATATATATTTTTATGAAAATAGAAAACAATATTTTAAAAATATGCATTCGTGATGCCATGGCTTACTATTAACAAATAATATATATTTTTTTAAATTACTAATTATTACAGATTATAAAAGTTATGAATTATAATTCAAAAAAATATTCAAAATTTATAAAATTCAAACTGCCAAACTGATCGCAACCATTCGCTAACCCGCATGGCCCGTTCAATCCGCATCTGTCAAACCGATAAACGGATGTGGATTAATTTTTTCCAATCCACATTTTAGATAGATGGTGGATGAGATGCCATCCGATCTAACCTAATTCGCAATCACCCCTAATAAAGAGGATGGATCTAGGGGGTGCCGGTGGGGACAATCGCACCCTCAAAAATTTGAAAAAAAATCATATATTATACTACAAAATTTAAAATAATTTAAAATTATTAGGATTTGCACCACCAAACATATTTTCGCACTCCCTTAATGATAATCCTGGATCCGTCCTTGCCTAATATTATGATGTATCAAAAAATAAATAAATAAAGATTGAAAATGATATTTTTGATAAAGAACTTACGGATTTGAAAAAAAATATATGAAAAGCCGTCAATGTTGTTGAATCCTAACATAATTGCGAGAGAATGAAACAGGGAGTAGTTTCTCCCCAGTATGATATTAGAGGGTATTGTTAGATTTGTGGAGGTTTATTCTAGGTCCCGTTTCTATAATCCGAATCGTTGAATGTGTAAAATTCGTCGATTAATATGTGCCTAACAAAAAATCACGTTAATCGGATATCGATAGCTATGTGATCAAATCAGTTTTCTATAAAAAAAATAGACGGTGAATTAATTAACGGTTTTTAGAAAACTGATCCAATCAGATAGCCATCGATATCCGATCAATGTGATGTTTTATAGGAATATAATACTCAACGAGTCCTATAGTTAACTGTTCGAATTATCGAAACGGGATCCGTGATGGGCTCTCACGGACCCAACAGCACCCTTTAATTCGATCTAAGATGAGCGGAAAGCTGCTTCCAATAAAATAATATTGACTTTAACAACCGTTAACCTTAACAACTGGACACTGGGCTCCAAATAATCAAGATGGCGATTGAGGAATCGAGAATTTTTCTTTTTAATTTAAAAATAATATTGTAATGACTAATTTTTTTTATTTTTATGATATGATATGTCACTATTATATTAGTGCAATATATCCCATCTCCATAAATTAATTTAACATTTCAATCTTATGTGGGTCATCGTTAGTACTTAATAACTAGTAAGGAGCTTTTTCAATGGTTAGTTAAATTTTTGTTGTTCAAATTTAGCATAAAATTCAAAGCTAAACTCTCCAATGACTAGCTAATAATCTTGCAAAATTTTACCTTCGCTCAACTCTAGATTAAAATTTAGTACAAAGTTTGACAATAATTAAATTATAACAATATCTTTTTTCCTCATAATGGGACTTATAAATGATATATTGATTTGACTTTTTGTGAAGAAAATAAAAGATTCAATATTAATACCATTAGGACTGGTCAAGTTATACTCACAAAAGGGTGTATATCATATACAAGTTATAGTATTTGTGGTGACATTTATTATATTACTTATCACAAATATCATAATTAGATCAAATTCAGTCATAACTAAAAAAAATAAAAAAATTGAGTCATAATCAAATACCACATAAGGTATAACCAAAAAATATTTTAAATCATAACCAAAATAATCTTATAATCAATATCAAAATAAATTATAACTAATACAACAATATATATAATCAAATCATAATTAACACCACGATCTCAATTATTACCCAAGACTATAAAAGTAACAACTGGGACATGTGGTAGAAG